TGTGGTCCCTGGAGCACATGCCAGGTGCTCAGGTTAAACTGCTGCTTTGGTTCAAGTGCCTGCACTTTCTGTTCCATGATGCACGTCGAGCTAGAAAGGCTCTCCTCGGATAATCCCCGCGTTTTGAGCTTTGCTGCCAGGAGTGCTCTCCCAGGGCGCTGCTTGGAGGGGCGTCACGTGCAGCAGAGAGCACCAGCAGCACAATCACAGCAGGCAGAGATGGAGGCAATCACCCAGCCCGTCTCTCAGCCTGCACAGGATTGCTCCCTGGAGGACTTTTTAGCCCAACACGCAGGAATTGCTGTGACGAGGGGATCTGGGAGCACATCAGTGCTCCTTAACCAACAATGAAAGGCCTGGAAGAGGAGGTGATCAAGAAGTTTGTGATATATGCCCCTTAGCAGACAGGTCCTCCTAGAGAGGGCCCGGAGAGCCTTCTTGTTAAAAGCCAATTGGATGAGTGACATTTCAGAAAAAAAAAAGACGTGTGTCACTTCTCAGCAGCTTCCCCCCGGCTCAGCTCAGACAATTACAGCTTAACTACCGGGGTTAAGCTCAAGCCTTCCACGGTGTCAGGATGTGAGGTACAGAGGGACACCGTCAGCTATTTCGGGTATTGAAATATCATTTACGGGAAGGGAAAGCATTCCCTGTCAGCTCTTTCTTTTGCATCTGAAAGAAGTAAAAGTAGTTAGAAAGGAAAAACGTGGTGGGTGTTTTTCACAGCAGGCTTTACCTGTGGTCTTTCATTTGCACAGCTGCAGTGAGCGGAGCCTGACCTGGGGTTAAGTTGCTGTGCCATTTGACAACAGGGGACCACGTGCCACAGGTCCCATCACCAAACCACGTCCCTTAGTGCCACGTCCACACTTACACACCACTAGGGATGGGGACTCCCCCAGGCAGCCCCTCCCAATGCCTCACCACCCTCTTTGTGGAGAAGCTCTTCCTAAAGTCCAACCTCGACCTCCCCTGGTGCAGCTTGGGGTCATTAACAACACACGTGCAGCTGTTTTGGCTCCAGATGCCTCTCTGGATACCTAAAACTTCACATCCACGACTATAGAAACTTGCTTAAAAAAATACAAAAGCTGAGGTGAGACATCCCATCACCTGGCTCCAGGAATCAAAGTCTCCAGACAAAAAACCAGCAGATAAAATCCCGAGATGCGACAACATTACCACCGTGCTTATACATGGCTAGGGCCAGCAAGGGAGACTGTGCTGTTCAGAGACACACCATGTTCAGTAACAAAGCCTGGAAACCCAGAAACATGAAGTAAATTGATGTAGAAAGCTATTAAAACTTCGTTTCTAGTGTTGCCAACATAACTAAATATTTAGTTCTGATGGTATTTAGCTATGTTTAGAAATGAAAGATAGGATTTGCAGTTTGTTTAATACCTTATCTTAAGATATATCTATTTTTTTTTCAATGTTAAAGTAGTTACCTGGTGCGCTGGAAGTCAGGAAATACACGCACCCCTTTGGTGGCTGCTAACCCACTGCTGGATCCTGTACGAGGGGGTAACGCTTGGGGCGTGCTGAGACCCACAGGGCACGCGTGTGCAAAGCACTGGTACTTCTTCCACATACATTACACCGTGTTCAGGGCGAAATTTGTTCTTGGACGCCTGCACAAAGACCGTGCCAAAAGCAATGGATGTGCATGTATGCTTTCAGAAAAGCGGGCTCTGGCTTACTGACGGGAAGGTTTTTGTTGCTGTTTGGTTTTCAGCAAAGGCCTCTTTCCAAGGGCACAGGGAACCACCCTGCTGCCACACAGCAAAGGGCGAGCATTTCCCTCGACCACACGCACGCTCTGTGGAAACTCTGAGGACTCACTCGGGAGAGCAGGGAGGCTTTGCACCAAGCTCCAGGAGAAAGGTTTCATTTCTTTTTTCTTAGGTTTGTTTCTCTGCTACAGAAACTGCTCTTTTCGGGGATGCAACATGCGGTCACATGCGTGGACCTCTCCTTGTAGACCTCTCCTGTCCTGTAGGATCCAGTCAGGACAAACGCCAACAAACTTGTCCGTTTTAGACACCAGAGATCTCAACCAGAAAGAAGTTGGCAAATGGCCCAGTAACATACAACCAGTGCCATCACCAAAACATCTGCACCCTCACCAAAAAGGCCTCTCAGGAAACCTCTACTCGTCATTTCAATACCATGAACATTACTTCAGTAGGTTTTTGATGCTCAGCATTTGTTAATCTTTTACACCAACAACCAACACGTTTTTCTCTAGTTTCCCAAAAGAAGCCATTTCAGAATTTGGGGTGCCTGGAGGGATGGGACAGCTCAAAACCCTGCATACAGTATGGGGCCACCTCTGACCTTTCCTTTCTGAAACAGAAGCCCCGCTCATTACTCATGTCTGTGCACGTCCCCAGCCACTGGTTTGGTGTCGGGGCCTTGCAGCCAGTACGTGTGCCAGGGGATGGACCTGTGCAGCACGGCGATCACAGCCGAGGTTACTGAAGGTGCAGCAGCCAGCTTGGTTATGGGAAAAAAAAAAAAGAAAAAGAGCACCAGCATTTATTTACAGATCCACATACCCACTGGTTTGATTTGATTTTCGTCTGCGGTGGGATCTTCTATCACTATCCTTTGAAATGTGGATTTGTAACTTTATTTTGGGGGGCAGTCTTCAAAATCATCTGTTATCAGATGTCACATTCCTGAGTTCATTTCAACTCCTGCTCCTTGGCTGTGCTGAAATAATGAATAATAAATAACCGGTGGCAGCAGCAGCAATAGCGGCAGCTGCAGGGAGACATCCAAAACCAATCCACAGCACAAAAGGAAACAAGTCATATCTATTCCTCTCCTTCTCTTCTAATTTCTTGTCCCATTTTTTACCAGGGGTTTTGCTGCTGTTGTTGTCCACTTTATCTTTTGTTTCCCTTCTTTCTTTCTGCTGAGGAATGCGGAGGTCTCTAAAGGGTCAGAGGATTTCGCCGTGCCAGCCCTCTGCTTATTTTAGGTACTGACTGTTACTGGAATACATAATTAAATCCTAACGACCGGGTAAGGAGAAGGTGCCCCCACCAACCTCTGCTCTTGCTTTTCTGCAGATCTGAGGCCCTTCGAGCCCATCCGGGATAAGGATGATAAATTCCTCCTCAGATAAATGTTATTCAGCATACCAACACCCCCGGACGCCGATTTAGTTTATTATTCTTCTCTCTATCACCCCTGACGTCGCAGGGCCGAGCAGCACAAGTAAAACAGTGCCTGAAGGAAGAACGCACACGACGATGCCGTCCGACTCCTCCTGCAGCTCCCCCAGCCTGCTGACAAGTGGCTTTTCCTTGGCTGGTCCCATGGGATGCCAGGAAGGTCGTGCTGTGGAGTGCTCTGGCTGGCCACCCCTCACACCGCAACAAACATCCACGTGGACATGCACCCTGCAGCTCCGAGGGAGAAGCACGGCAGGATAAAATAGTAACTTGGTCTGAAAACGTTGCTGAAAGAGCAAAGGAAAGCATGAGAGAAAGATGGATCTGTCTGCTATCAGAGGCTGCCCCCATCCTGAGAAGCAGCCATCTTGCTGCTTGCCCCCTCTCCAAATTTGACTTGAGAAGTGAGTTTCAAGAGAAGGGCTCAGCAGGGCTCTTCAGCAACTGAAATACCACGTCTGTGACTGCCGTACACAACACAGGAACAGCCCTCTGATCAACGCTCAGGGCTGCCTGCCGGAGCTTTGTTCCCAAACAGCCGCGGTAAGGAGCGGCCCCCAGGCTGCGAGCTCACTTCTTGAGGGAAAACGAGCAATTCGCTCTGACCACCTCTGGCCACTGACTGGACGTGACTTGTGGTGCTGGAAAGGCCACGTGTGGTCTTGTTGGCTGGGGAAATGGGGACATTACTTCTCAACTGCAGCCTCACAATGTGCTTCCACAGATGGGCACGACCTAACACAGAGTTGTCACTTAAATACTGGGACTGGGTAAAAAGTTCATTTTCCCCAGAAAAATCACCATTTCGACTGCATAGCAGTCATCACAACAGGTTCTTCTTTTGAGGGAAAAAATAACAGATTTGCCAAATACTTGGGGAGAAAAGCACTTATAAAACTGAACCTGTCAGACATCTTCCTATGTTCAGCAAAAACGTTCCATGTTTTTCCAGACGAGACACCATTTTCTAGAGAAGAAAGACCTACGTACTCATTCCAGCAACACTCAACACCAATTTTTGTCCAGTGACGCTCTCCTGAAGGCAGCTGTCAGACCAGAGCGAGAGGCTTTGCTGGTGGCTCCCCGTTTCACTTGGCAGATCACCGTACACACACCCAGCCCAAGTACCCCAACGCAAACCAACCAGCACGTGCTGAGCGCTTCTGGAAGGCAGCCTCCAGAGCTTCCTGGCAAAAGCTGATTCATTTTGAGACAGCAGTGGAGCTGCTCTTATATTTAAAATAAAAAATATTTATATATAAAGATAATATCATATTGTATTCATATATAATAGATTTATAATACTATATTTATATAATATATAGATATGTATCTCTATATATAGAGATATAGATATTTATATATATACAGTATATATAAATATAATATTAAATACATATAACATATAATATTTACAATATTTTATAAAATAAAGGATATTTTCTCCACCACTGGCCACATCTTCCTACCAGGAAGAACCAGGCTCATCCAAACTCAGCCCACAGACGCCACGCAGCAGGTGGAGCAGAGGTGTCTAAAAGCCAGCTCGCGTCCTCATTTAGCAGTCAGTCCCCGCTTTCCAGGGCTAAACACCTACGTGCCTCCCTCCTGGCCTTCCACCGCGGGACATCCAGCACTGCCAGGCACCTTTGCAAGTGGCACAGGGGGAGCAGGCTCTCAGCTGCCGCTGCCTACAATGCCTGGGGAGCGTTTGTCAGGGTGGCTGGCGGCAGCCCGCTGTGCGGCTGGCTGTGAATGGGGTTTGTGTGCGCCTTTCATGCCATTGTGCGAGGCTGGAGTGCAGGACAATGCGAATGGAAACATTTCGCCTGTTGTTGACATCTAACTGCCTCCTGGAGGATACAGCCTCCACCAGACAGATGGCTAATTTCTTTACCCTCACCTCCTCCTGCAGCACTCCAGCGTTAGCGTGATGGCCTGCCCCTGGAGTGAAGCCCTAATTGCTGTCAAACGCTCACAGACAAAAGTGGTGTCTACATATCATTCATGCAAGTGTTGTTGCCGGGCTGTGAATTAAACAGCAGAAGCCACTTGTCAATTGACTCCGGCGTGAGCCGTTTTGCTCAGGCGCCGGCTCACGCTTTACAGGATCAAGGCTGACAATTTCCACCGCGGCGCAGGCGGGGACCGCCCGCACGGGAGGATGCAGCGCCTGCCCCAAGAAACCTGGGCTGTCAGGCTTAAATTTGGGGGTGTGCTTCCCCCCTGCTGCAGAAAAATGCTCATTTTCCTTTGTCCTCGCTGGTGAAAGCCGAGCGGCCACTGAGGATGAAGCGGGTGCTGAGCACGGAGCTCCTCGTTTGTCTTGCTCGTGCACGAGGCGTAATTCGGGGACCGACGAACTCCGTGCTTCATGGAGCTGCCGCCGAACGGGCAGGTAGTGCTCATGGCCAGACGGTGACAGTCAGCCACCGGCAGGCTGATTGGATGCACATTCATCTTCAAATTATGTTGTGTGACAGCACAGGCTGCTGAACACCATTTTAACATGCAGAGTAACTCCTCGGGAGGCTCTTCATTATGCATTCAGCGGGCTATTTTCAGACTAAACAGCATGTCAGTGGCTGTGTTTATCCCTTTCCACCTGGGCAGAGGAAACAGTTCAATGTCCCCCCGGGGAATTAATACATATTACAACCCACACATCGATTCCCCTCAACAGAGGGAAATGGCCAGGCACACGTTGCACGTTTCCAGAAAATATCGAAGCCCCAACAATGAGGGATTGCTAGGGGGAAAAGCGCGTCCGAGCAGCGACCCTCGGCTTCACAGAAGCCCAGTAACATGGGGCCAACACAAAACCCTACACACACGAAGGCACACACAGGGCAGCACGCTGCTGCCCCACAGGCGGTGCCACGAGCATCGCCTTGGTCCCCGCATCGCTGCCAGCCCCGGCACAGAGCAGGCAGCATCTGCACGGGGCTCAGGGGGCCTTCCCTCTCCTCCTGTCTCCTTCCCAGTGTGATTTACTTGCTCTTGCTGGGAATACTTCATCTCCTGCCCTTTTACAGATCCGACTGGTGGCTTCCTGGGAATGGATTCGCGCCCGTAACTCCGCAGCAGCGACTGAAGCGTGTCAAGATCAGCGTTATTCCTCTTCTGCCTTTAATCCTCCCACCTTCAACAGACAACACACCCAGCTGGCAGGGATGGCAGGACCACAGGAGCCAGGCTCCTGGCAGGATCCCAGCCAGGCCACAGGCCCCCTGCTTATTCCCAAAGCAGCTGCCCTACAGTCCTGACCCTTCCCGATCCTGTCTTGGAGCTGGGTACAACCCAAACCAACCCACTGCTAATTGAATGCCTCTAATTAAAGGCAGGTAGTTCACAAAGTCCCTGAGCTGAAAGCTTGGAGAACCTCCTGGTGAGAGGTCTGCAGTCCTGTTCCCCCCGGGGGCTTTATGCAGGACGGGATGTTGGCTCCCACCCAGGTTGGTCCCTACGGGCCCCCCACCTCCAGTAGCTCACCCACGGGTGGGCAGCGAGGGGCCGCGACAGGGGAGCTCACCAGGTCAGAAGCCCCCTGGCCACGTGTAAAACACACATCCCATTCGAAATGAAAGCCTGTTTATTAAAATTGACACTTGCACGGTGCCTGCCCAGCTGATTAGGAGTACCAGCTGTGCAGCCGGCAGCGGAGAGGCCTGACATCCCAGAAGCTGCAGCAGCGCTCTGTGTCCTGCTTCATTACTGACCTAACAGCCACGGGAGAAGATTTAGAGCCAAGCTCCTGCAGCCTGCGAGGGTCGCCCAGTTCCGTGTCAGCTGCCTGGCCCCACAAAGGGCAGTTTTGGCACCCCCTGCCCATGCTGGGGGATGCTCGTGGGGCACCCACCTGCCTGGGGTCCACCGAGGGGCTGCTGGAGCAGGAGGGAGGCGCTGTGAGTGGGGCTGCTCCTCCTAACAATGACAGCAAAGCTCATTCGGGATGGCTCTCCGTGGCAGAGGGATATTGAATTCATTACACTGCAGGGAAAAACTGAGAGGTTAAAATAAAATGGCAGCAGGTGCATCTAATAAGATTACAAGGTCCCCCTGGGATGTACTTGGAGAGCGGTTTCACTGTGTATTTTAAACCAGACTACACTGTTGAAATCAACAGGGTTTTAGTTGCACAAGGCAGGCTAATTGGGAATTCAGTTCATGATTATTCAGGTGTAAGGCACAGCGTAGCCAGAGATGTGCTGAAATAAAATCTGCTTGATCTAAGCGAGGGAGAACAAAGTGGATGCACCTCGTGAGTACAAATGCAGGAGACCGGAGTATGGAGATAGGGGTGGAAGTACACCTCGCAGAGATTTCTGTACTGTCATTAAAAAGGCATTCCAGGGAAAATAGAGTGAAATATATTGTGCTGAAACACCATTTAGATTCTGAAGCTTTCTGCTTTAATACCTCACACAGCCTCAGAGGAGGGGCCAGAAGTGCCAGTATATCATCCTGAACTAACCGAGCTGCTCTCGGATCTGTAGCTTATACATGTAGATGACCTTACATAATGGATTGAAACAAGCCTTAAACTTTATTCTAATGTAACTGCAAAATAATAATAAAAAACCAAACTGCAATTCTGCCACGTTGCATCTACACACACCTGTACCACCACCTTCCAGACGTGCTCACAAGGCAGAACTGACAGCCTGACCCAAAGAGATGCTGTGAGGAGCCCCCACGACCCTTCAGACACAGCTCTGTGCTCCTATTTGAGCCCATCAATCCTGCTCCCCGAGTGGCAGCTGGTAACGCACACATCTGCCAACATCCAGGCACCGCAGCCACGGGGCACGCTGCGCTCACAGCTGGAAACTTTGCAACTGCTTACATTTAACTAGAAGATAACCCTGGATTATGCATTTCGCACAGCAGAGGTTAAAAACCAGACTGGGGCTTGGGTTAATGCCAGTACAACGCCTCTGCCTGACCCCACGCACACATAATGTTACCTTTGGTAATGCTTCCTCTCTGTTCCTCCTTCTGTACTGCCCAGGAAAAATCAGGGAGCCCCCACAACTGGGACTTACCTGTACAGGCTCTCTGCAGGGCCAGAAGGTGCCAGCTTTTGCTATCAGAAATCCCACCCTGTGCTCTGGGGGTGGCTTCCAGCTTCTGCCTAGAGCATTAGCTTGCTCGCCTTAATATCACTACACTAGGGGTGGTTACCCCTACGGGATGCCAGCAGCCCTTGCAAATCTTTACCTCTAGGGCTCAGGAGCAGGAAGCATCCCTGCCTGTTTCACCCAAGGTAGATGTTTCAGATGGCTAAGTGGAAACAAATGTGTTTCACAGACAAGCCCCACCTGCAAAAAGCCCCTGCTGTCAACAGCTGACTGGTAACAGGCCTCTTAACGGTGATGGGATCTGCCAGGAAGAAGTGACTGGAGGCAAATGTCTTTCCCAGGGAGGTGGAAAAAAGCCTCTGGGGAGCGACAGGTTTTAAGGCAAAATGGGGCAGCCTGCACGGGATGGTTGCTCACCGCCCTGCAGCCACAAAAGGCAGTGAGCTCCGAGCCTCTCCATCATCTTGGTGCCCACGTTTCTGCCTCCTCCTGGAGACCTGGGGACAGTGGCTGTCCTGGGTGTCCTCCCAACACGTCCACCTCAGCAGGGTGGATGTGTTGACTGTAAGGTTTCACCTCTTTCGGCTTAGAGCACACGGCCAACTGGCAGAAAGGGGCTGCGGCCTCCTCACAGCAGCTCTTACATGAATAGGGCTTGTGTTGGAGAGCAGGGCACGCGTCCTGCCCTCTGCCAGCAAGCAGGCGTCTTCCCCCAAATCCGGCTGCTCTGGCTGAGCTGTGACACCTCAGCCAAGCCTCCAGGTGCAGTAAGGGCTTCCTGAAGTCAAAAAGGAAAGGGTGAAGTGGCACAAAGAGCAACTCCTCACCAGAAGGGGAATTACTCCTGGCACTCCCAAAACGCCCCCGATCACACGAGGCTGTGCATTACACCCAACGTGTGCACATTGCTGCACTAACCCCTGTAGTGCCAGCCCCCAGGGGAACTGCAGGCCCTGTGCCACAGGGCGCAGGCACTTTAATTCTGTTTTATGATTTTTAGCATCCTCCTCTCACAGGCAAGGCGCTTTTAGACCCTGTTTTCATTTTAAACAGCAGGAAATGTAGTTTAATATGCTTTTCAGTAGTGGTAAGAACAGAAAGGGAAAAATAAAGGGAGTTGGGAGAATAGATGGCACAGCAAACTGACTGCCGGAGCTGCGTAACGGCACGCGGTGCTCACGCAGAGCTGGTCAGCTCCTCGCTGTTCCCAGTTCTGCTGTGCTCACCCCAGCTTTTTGCAGAGGGGGTGCCTGTAGAGCAAGTAACAGGCAAACCGGGGGGGAGGCTTCTGCCAGCTGTGAGCACCCTCCAGGATGATAAAAGCGGGACCGACAAGAAAGGGAGGGCAGCAGGAAGCCCTGTTATTTATCTGGCCCCAGGTAGCTCCCCGGGCAGGGGCCAGGTCCCCCCGGCAGCGGGGTGCGGGTGCTGGCTGGGGTGGGAGCGGGTTTCTCCCCCTCCCCGCGCCCACGAGGCGCTCGTCTTTCTCCCAGCAATTACCGCGGATGATTTATGTGACCAGTCGAGAGGGCCTGCCAGGGTTCTTATTTCATCTCGGGGAAAAAAAAAAAAAAAGGGACTCTGCTGGAATTTTATCAGGGAGCCCGGATTAAACTGACAGCTGCCTTTTGTTTTGTTTTTAAAGACCTTCCCTTCGGGGCGCCGCCCGGAACGAGGGGGGGACGCCACAGCGAGCAGAGGGCAGCAGCCCCTCCTGCAAGAGAAAATAAAACCATTTCCCTCTCCGCGTGCACGTTTCAAGCGAGGCCATTTTTAAGGAGCCGACATCTGAGAGCGCCCCCCGCTCCCGGCAGCTCCGAGCAGCGCTTCATGGCACTCGGCTGCAGCCACCCAGGCCGCAGCTTTGCCTCCCCCAGTGCTGAGCCTCCATCCCCGCACCACGGCAGGCCCCGAGTGTGGCTCCGAGCTGGCACGGAGGGCCCCGTGTGGCAGGGTAATGGCGTGTAAAGAAGTGACACAGCCAGGATGTTCTGGGTGCTTACAGGGAGAAGAGGGAAACAAAACCAGTGTCGGAAACCAGCAGAAGTTGACTGCTGCGGATCCTTCCTTAGCACAGCCTCAGGAAAAGCATTCGGCTGCCCCGTGCCCCCCTCCTGGCACCAAGGGTGAGTGCCCAAGGACCAAGGCAGTGCCTTCGCCACCAGCCTGGTGAAGATTTCACCAAGCCCAGCTGCTCCTCCCCGTCCCTGGCCACATTTATCGCCTGGGAGCTGGCCGCTGCCTGTTCCAGGAAGGGGGTTAAGCTAATGATATGCCAATTCGGCACACCCGCACAGCCCTGTGGTGGGGCTGCTTGCCGGTGCCACACGGGGAGCACGGCGAGGATGAGGAGTGCCATTCGGGGAGCCCAGCATCGCCGAGAGCCCCGGCTGCCCTGGGTGGGCTTTGTTCCTCCCGCGGGTCAGTCCCCCCCGTGCGAGGTTTGGCACGGCTGCCAAGCTCTCAGCCCCAGAAATAGCGCGTCAGGCAGCCGAAAAAAACAGCGGGGAGGGGGAGAGGCAGATAAAAATAGCGAGAAATGTTGATTGCATTGTTACTGCTTCAATTAAGCTCAGACACTTCAGCCTGATGAGTCAACAGCAATGACAAGAGGGCACGGCGAGCGGGAGCAGAAGGGGTTTGCAGTCCCACCAGCACGGAAGGCAGCAAGGTCCCCAAGCAGGAACCCCCCACGAGCAGGGCTGGTGCTCCCAGTAGCCGTCCACCAAAACACGCGCGCTGCCAGCGCGGACGGCGGTCATTAAAATCTGTGTGTAGTTTGTGAGGCTGTTCCAATAAATGACCCGGCGAATTCATCTCGTCTCCTAACGCTATCTCCTGGTATTTGGGATGACTTCATGCCAGATATCCTGCCGCAGGGAAGCGCGGCGGGCTGGGGGAGGAGCGGCGAGGGGCTGCTCAGGGGAAGAGCCCAGCCTGCCTTCGTCCCTCGGCGCTGCCTGGCGAGTCCCCTTCCATCACGCTCCCGAGCGCGGCACAATTAGTGCAGCGGGCCCGCTTCTCCTGCAGGAGCCCAGGTCCCCAAAAGGTAGGGCTTCAACATCATTAGCAGTTCATCGTCTTAAACCTCCGGGCAGCCCCTAGGCAGATCCCCTCGCGCAAGCCCCGCACCCCTCCCCCTTTTTGGTGTCTGCTTATCAAACTAATGAAGCACATCCAGACTGAAAGGTCTTGGGGTAGAAGACAGCAGCTTAACCATGATTCAGTACATGGCCCTTCCCCTCCTCCTCTTTATCAAATAAAGCAAGCAGAATTTCCTACGCTTAAATGGAAGGGAGGAGGAAGGAAGGAGGCTGAGGGGAGGGAGACGTTTGTCTAGTAATTCCCTGCAGAAGGAGATGTCTGTTTACTTTCTTTGACTGAGCACTTGCATATTAAAAAGCCCCGGCTCCTTAGCGGGCAGGATTTAGCAGCACCGGCGATGCCTGCTCGGGTGGCTGGGGATAACCACGTCCTGCGGCCCTCCCCTCGTCCTCCTCTGGGCGCAGGCAGAGGGATGCTGCACGTGCTCCAGCCCCAAAATGCGAGCAGCCCCGGCAGAAGCCATGGAAGCACGAGGAGGCTCCAGTAGAGCCCTGCCATTCGGGGGGAGCCAGAAAGGCGATTTCCAGCTGTAGGTAGAAACACACAAACAGCTTTCGTCGTGTCACTGGCCTCCATATAGATGGTTACTTCAAGGCAAGTGGGAAAGAAAAAAAAGAGGAGGAAAAAGGAGCCCTGTTCTCATACCCGTCAGACTCAGAGGCACGCTTTAAACGTGTTTAAAGACGTTCGTGCATGTTGGTGATAACCTGCTGCTCTTCTGAAATCGAGGAACACGAACGCGAGGTGCTGTGAGTCAGCTGCTCTCACGGTGTCAGCTCAGCCCTTCTCCTGGGTCAGCAAAGGGCTTTGGGAGTAAAAGCCATTCTTCACGCTGCAAAATATGACTTCTCACCAAATGAACTGGATGTACTTTAAAGAGGGTTTACTGGGGATAACTCGCTGTCACCAGTGCCTGCAGCTGTGTGAGTGCCTGCTGTCGAGGGACCAGCAGGACACCTCCAGTTCAGGCTGCAGAGAGCACCTTCGTTTAGACCCTGACAGAAACTCCCCCTGCCCCCTGACACGAGCCCATCCTGCATTTTGCAGCACCAGGCTTGTTTCTTCTGAGACAAGGCAAAGACAAAGCTCGATCGATCCATCACATCTGCTTTGAAATCTTACTGTGTTGCAGAGTTAAAACCCCTAAGTTTTGTCTCCTGAAAGGCAGGGACCAGATGAAAGCAGTCCCAAATCCTGTTCACGTATCACCCTCATCACAGAACAACCACACAGACTACAACGTTGACCGAAGCCCAAGGAACATACAAGATCATTTTTAAAACAAATTTAAAAAAATCTTACAAATGACAGGCTTTTGTTTCCCACTAATGTAGGTTAATGCTCGTTCCCATCCACGCAGGTGGGATCAGCATTGGACTAGAGCAGCAAAAAGAAAAAAAACACAACAAACTGGCCACGGGTGGCTCGGGGAAGTCCTCCCTGGTGGGCACGAGGCTTGCCTTCTTTCCTCTTCAGGAAATCTGCGTGAGAATAAACCACAAATACACGCAAGCACAAAACACACACACACGGGGGTTGCATAAACAATTTGACCGTGAGCACCCCGACACACAAATGTATCTGTACAAAGAAAGCACCCGAGGCACCAGGAACACAAGCACATCTAAGTGCTCTCCCTGTTTGTGCTGTCATTAGGTGTCTCCCCCTGGAAGCCGGTGCCTGCTGGTGGTGTTTCGCTCCTCTGTGGCCTGGCTGAGCTGTGAGTTCCCTTTGTTCCCCCCCGTGGCACGGGGAGCTGGCTGGAAAGGTACAGGGGGGTCAGGAGCTGCACGGACATGGTGAGCTAAGGGAATGAAAACCTGCATAAATATGGCCTGAAAAGGTGTCTCAGAAATCTGAAGGAGAAAAAACGCCACGGACCAGAGAGTTATCCAGCGTCCTACACAGATGAGCTTGCGCTAGAAAATGAGAACCTGGAAATGAGGTCCAGGATTTGCCCCTTTTAAGTTTCGTGAGGGTGTTTGGATCGCAGAGCCTCGCCGAGTCAGCCAGGCATCCTTCTGAGACTGCCTGCTTTGCCGTCAGCCTGTGTGCATTATCGCATTGTAATCAGTCCAATATCCCATCTCTTATCTAAAATGTAAATACTAATTTGAGGGTTCAGGGAGAACACAGCTATTTTATTTTCGGTTTAAAAAAAAAAGAGAGAGAGAGGAGGAGGCCGGCATCATAACAGTAATTTATGATTTTCCTGGTGTATTATCATCGGGTAATAAGAGCAACTTGAAACTGCCAATTATCTCATAAGAGGGGTATCACCTTTTCTATTTTGAATGACTCCATCGATAAACGCAGGCTCTGCTTGCTAACACTCCGTCACATAATCAGTGGCCTTGCAGCGGGAGAGACGAGAGCACGAGAAGGAGAGAAAAACAAGCAGCAAAGAGACGAGCACTCCGTGCCAGCCAGCCCGGGGCTCAGCAGCAGCAGCAGCAGCAGCATGGAGCAGGGGAGGAGGAAGAGGAGGAGGAGGAGGAGGGGGCTGGGAGGAATCGCCCCGAGCAGCCGGCAGGTCACACACACACAGTGTGCAACAGCAAACGGGGTTTACAAAGAGACATCTGTTCCATTACTTGGATGCATTGTGGCTAATTACATCCTGGCCCGTCTGTGAAATGACAGCCACTTATTCTCCAGTGAACCGTAAAATCTGTACATGTTCGGTGCGGGCAGTGGGGAGTACGAGGAGTGCTGGGAGCGGGGAAGGGGGGGAAGGATGGAGAGGGGGCCGGGAGAGAGGCGCAGGAGGAGCACCAAGGACGTACCCAGCGCCTCTGCAGCCACGGTGCTGTCGGTCGGGAAGCAGCAAGAGAAGGAAAGCCACTCCAAAAGGCAGACCCTAACGCAGTGCTGCCATACTTATGCCAGGCCGTGATGCCTGCTCTGCCCCAAATTCCTCTCCCCAGCGTTGCCTTTGCTGAGGGAGCGTGGCGGTGCCAGCAGGCGCGCAGCGGTGCACTTTTCCTGCAGGTTTCTGCAGCCCCTCTGCCATCGCTGTTTGTATCTCCCTTACCTGCTGGTCTGACAGCTTTGTTAGAGGCTATTATCCCCTACACCAATTTAATTTTAGCCTTGGATGAATTAAAAACAAGGACTTCTCATCTCCCACCACCTCCCACAGATTTTTTTAGAAATCTGAAGGAAGCTGCAAGAAAATAAATCTCGTCTCTACTTTTCCGCATACCAAAACGGGCCCTGTGCTCCAGCACGACTGCAATCCGCTCAGATAACACAACACAAATCAGATATCAAGGCTTGGAGTACGCAACCCAAGGGACAGCATTCAGCACCGTGCTAGCTAACAAGGGTTAAATCCTGATCATAGTAGGTCCTGGCAAAAAAACTACAAACTTTACAGCAAAGCTGGGTTAAATGTCAAATGAGGCAAAGGCTGCAAAGGTTTGAAAGTGGCTTTTGCTGGGGGAGCGGTGGCTTGGCTTGACACTAGAGCAGAGCTCTCGTGAGAGCATCTCTACCCGCAGCTACTTCTGATCCCGCGTGCAGCCACATCCCCGCAGCGCAGGCTTCTCGGGGATGGGATGCTTTGGTGGCCCAGCCCAACAGAGCACCGAGGTGGTGTAAGCAGCCTGCCAAACTGGTGCGGTGGCAATTAAAATAAATGGCTAGGTGGTTAAGAGAGGAGGGCAGACTAGAAACAAAGACTGGCTGCTCAGTGACAGCCGATCAGCCCTCTAACCAGAGGCACTGCTTTTGTTCCAGGACTTCCCCATGAAAGCCTCACCTTTCTGCTAATGCAATGAAACCTGTGGATTAGGGCAGAATTTGCTCGGTGTGATGAATTGCTCACTCCCAAAATTGAAGTAAAACTAAGTGCCGTGCACAGGGAAGGAAGGTAAGGAGGACTGCTTGATACTGCTTGTATCACCTACAAGCTGAAGCTGTAGAAATCCAATGGTGTCTAGAAACAGAATTGCAGCAGCCAAACTAAAGAGAGCTAGGATGCTTTGGGACGAGATTTCTTCCTGCATTTGGTTACAGGCTAAGAGGGACATATTAATCCATCTAAATCCCTGACCGCACCATATCCTGCAGGTGTTACAGCCATTCAAGATGGTCAGATCTAGAGGGGAAGAAAAATACAATTAATCTCCGTTCCCTTGCACGATACACAAACAGATGCAGAAAAAGGGAAGCACTGCAGGCAGCTGGTTTGTGTTCACAGCTTAAAGCAAAACCACCTGAGGCTGAAACACCAGGAAAAGTAGCGCAAGCGTGATGTTTTTGCTTCAACTTTAAAACTAGCCTCTGTAGATGTTGGCAAACCAACATAACAGGGAAAAAAAGCATTGGGACCTAGTGTTCCTGCCAGGTTGGGAGTAAAAGCAACTGGAAAAATTAATGGATTTTTCATTAAAATGCTCACCACTTCCTCCAATTTTTGGTCTGCGTTCTGTGGTTTCTGTTTCAATCCTCCTTTCCTGACAAAGGCTTCAATGCTTCTTAGGGCCAGAATGAATATTTATCGTCGCCTCATTCGTGAATCGCAGGTCACAGCCTCTCTGGCAGTAACCTGTGCACGGGGCTTGTACCATCTGGCCGTGGTCAGGCGGGGACCCTCCAGCAGGGCCTCGCAGAGAGCCCCGAGCTTTGCCTGGGGCAGCTCTGGCTGTGGGAGGTGAGTGGTGCCTCCGGACCTCCCTCTTTTTCCTCCATGAGCAGCAGCACCTTA